TTTTTTTTTTTTTTTTGTACTGGGGATTGAACTCTGGTCCTTGTGCTTATGGGTCAGGTGGTACAACCACTGAGCTAAATCCCCAGCCCTGAACATGATTTCTTTCCAGAAAGCCTTCCCACTGAACCTGGAAGAATTTTTTTTGGTACCAGGGGTCGAACTCGGCTCCTTTTGCTTTCGAGGCAGGTGGCAGAACCATTGAGCTAGATCCCCAGCCTAAACCTGGAAGAATTTTGGTCGGATATGGTAGTATTTAAAATCAACAATATTATACTCTGGTTTCTCTTCAGATCATATAAATCTTTCTCCTTTTACTAAAATCAACCATGTTTTGAAATTTAAAGATGAAAAAGATAATTTATAGAACTGAAAAGCTTTACTACTAAACCTAACAGAAATACATGTGAAAATTTGACATTCTACATAGGAGAATGAAATATGAAATTAAAAAAAAATACTTAGAAAAACTCAAAAATAAGAAGATAATAGCAAATCACAAATCATTGTTTCTCAAGTGAAATAAGTAGAAATAGGAATCTAATATATAATGGGGCTAATTTAACAGTCATTCTGTGATCTTTATTTATTTATTTATTTTGTGATACCAGGGACCAAACTCAGTACCTCAGGACTTTGCACTTGCAAAGCAGGCACAACACCACTGAGCTAAATCCCTGGCCCTATCTATATTCTTTATTTGATTTGGAGGGAGTTTTATTTGGATTTGAAGTCTCACAACACCCATAAAGTTAGTTGCCTACTTTTTAGACAGATTGATTTAGGCCCAAGATAGAGAGTTAAATCAAATAGTGACTTGCAGTAGTCTTTAATATGGTCATAGCACAAGGAGGCAAATGTGTTTTTATTTAACATAATAAAGAAAAAAAGCCACTGATATTTGGTATTTTGCAGTTACTAAAGTTAATTTGAGGCCAAGCATGGTGGTGCACATTTATAATCCCAGCACTCGGGAGGCTGAAGCAAGAGGATTGCCATGAATTTGAGGCCAGCCTGGCCTTTATAGTGAGTTCAAGGCCAGCCTGAACTACATAGTGAGACCCTGTCTCAAAAAATGAAACAGTAATTTGAAAACTATCCATATGCTCCCTTTTAAGATCCTGGGCAGAAATCCATCTTAAAGGTAAATTGTAGTTTTTTTCCCCAGTACCCAGGATTGAACTCAGAACCTTGCGCTTGTGAGACAGTCAGTGGAACCACTGAGCTAAATCCCTGGTTGTGTAGTTGATTTTTAAATTGTGCTCTTTTCCAGGTGTCTTATGAAGATGTGGATCGCCTGAAAGGCCTGGCAGTCACTGAGAACATGCGGGTCCCGCACTTCCTGCAGAACCACGAGCGGTACAGGGAGCACCTGGAGAAGATCATGGAGGTGAACGAGCTCACGGACAGGGAGCTGCAGGCCCTCATCTAGGCCCGGTGCAGACCAGCTGTCCTGAGGGAGTCCCAGCTAGGTGCAGCAGTGCCAGTGGATCCACAAGAGGAGAGAGTGACTTTTAACTTGAGTTTTCTGAAGCATGGTCCTCAGTGTTCAGCTGAATTTTTAGGTTAAATGCAAACAGACTGCTTCCCTAAAATGTTTCTGTGGGCCGCAGAGCGAGGTAGTCCTGTTTGCATCTCAGTCTTGACAGACTGGACTGAAATCACGCCTGCTCGGTGTTTCCGAAGACTCCTGGTTGCATCTCATGGCAGAATCTGCCCCGGCACTGAGGCAGCTCTGCGGTGGAGCCTGCCCTGCCCTGCACACTGTAAGTGTGACTGTGTGCTCTCCTTTGAAAACTCAGTCTTGGGACACTCTGAAAAGCCAGCTATGGCTTGGATGTCTTATTTCTCTTAACGTTAAGTAATGTTAAAGGAAGGAGAAAAGCAATTTGAAAAGTTGTCCTTAAGTCCTTTATTTAATACAGTATTATTTCACCTCCTCAGCTTCTAGAAACTCAATTAGCAAATTGTGTGTGCTCTGTCACTGAGATACACCCCCAGCCTCTTTTTGCCCAGTTTTCTCTTAACTAAACACTTTTTACTTCCTGAAATCTATTATACCCATTAAAACTTCTACAGTTTTAAGGTTCTTCCGTCTGCATTCTTCATAGAAATGAGATGTATGTGTGCTGCACACATCAAAATGGTTGGAGAGGCAGGAAGCTACTCACTTTTTTGGGAATATGTAACAAGGAGGGGACAGATAGCCTGACCTAGAACCTAGGGTCAACTTGACCATGCTGTGATCAATAAAATCTCTAGGCATTCCCACCGGATCACCCAGCCTTGACATCCCAGTCTTCAGCTTCATCCACCAATGATAGCATGGGGTAAGTTCAGCAGTGAGAGTTGTATTTGCTGTATTTCTCCTGCTGTCAGCACCCGCACCTCGCTTGGTAATTGGTTTCGTATATACTTGACTGTGTATACTGGGAATCAGATAGCTCTCGCACAGCTTACTCTAAAGATCAGAAGGGATGCTGCAGTGGTACCTGTTCCAGGTTGAAACTGCAGTCTTTACCCAAAGTCCCCCGAGAGTGCGCTGTACCTCGCTCAGGCCAAACCATGGTGCTTACCCTGGTAGCTTCCTACTGCAAAGCCTGGTCCCTTTCGTGCTAGCAGTGA